TTTATATCCCCTTGAAAATAGAAGCTATGTTGTTGGTCCTTTCCTGATGGGCACTGAAATTGTTCAGTCTTCTATATGGAATGAAATTATCTGCAACAAAATATTTTTATTATTTTTTAAAGTCTACATTTCTCTGCTTTGTAGAACAGAACAGAAATAAATCTAATTTAGCACTTGACAATAACTTGTAGTTCCATTCTTCTGGTGGTAGTAACTTTTTGTTTTCTATTTCTGTCTTGCTTGTGAATGTGGTAGCATAACTTGTGTTACCGTGGTTATGTTGTATAAGCACCAGCACAAAAACTTGATAACATATTGGCTGCTCAAATTCAAATTCTACTTTTTTCTTATAACAATATTCTGGATCACAGAATTTCAAAGAGATGAGCATTTGCTATTTTGAGTGTGGAGGGAATAGCCTATTTGGCCAGCTTCATAAATCCTATTAATAAAGTGATGGCAAATATCACATCTTTTGATAGAATAGCCATTTGCTCATGATAATTTAAAAGGCATCATTTTAGTTATTTCCTAGAATAGGTTCTAAAAAGGTGTCAAAAATGCTTGGAAAAAAAAAAGCTTGAAAATGCAAGCTTTTTCTATGTGAAATCTAAACCTGAAATATTTACAGTTTTTTTAATGCTAAAAATAAATTCCTTGAGATATAGTCAAGTTGTAAATTTCTATATAGTAACAGTTCTCGTATTAGCTGATGATAATAATCTGACTTTGCGATTGAGTTCTTTATCCTGAAGAAGGTTTTAAGTATTATCCAGAGCTGTGATTTTAGGCCATTCATACCCTTTTCCTGATAGTACTTCTTGACTTCTATCCCATCTTTTCCTTTTTACTTTTGTACAAGTTGTCGTAATTGCTTTGGAACAACCTGTCACCACCAGACTCTTAAGAAACCATTAAAGTGACTTCATTAACTTCCTTACAGATGTGGAGCACAGATTTCCTCCAGGTCCATAATTAATGTTCTCGTGTGTCTGTATACTGTGCTTTCATCTAAAAAATTATTTTGAGGAAATTATGCAGCAGACCCAAGAAAGGTTAGCTATAAATAGAATTGTCATTAGATATCTTGTGTCTTGGCTGAGACAAAGTACCTGACACACAAAGTTAAAGGGGAATAGGGTTATTTAGCTCACAGTTTGTAGCAATTTCAGTCCATAAGTGGCTGGCTCCAAGATAGGATAGCACAGCAGGCAGGCATCGCAGAGGAGAAACAGTTCATGGTGGGCAGAAGGTAACAAAGTAAGCAAACAAGAGGTCTTGAACAGTATCTTTCTGCCCCTTTTATCCAGACTACTTAGAGTGGGTAGCACCTACATCCTTACATGAGTGCCCTTGACCCTAGCATTGCACTATAAATTAATTCCAGCGGTACACACTCTAGATCCAGTCACCTCTGAAAAAGCCCCACTTATAACCACATGAGGCTTTGGGGGAACTCTAGACTCAAACCATAACACCTTTAATTTCAAAACAAGATAGGAAGACGTGTGTGTGTGTGAGCCCGTGCTATAATTTCTTTACATATCCCTGGAAAATTTGTTAAGGAAATGTTGTGAATCATTGCTAGCCACCCAGAAAACATCTGTTTTTCTTTATGAGGGCAAACTGTACCTACGTGAGAATTTAATATTGTGAGCTGTTCTTCTTACATCTCTTAAGGAGTTAAAAGTAAAGATGCTATTTATTAGCATCATTGGAAAAAGGTTCTACAGCCAACCAAGTTCTTCAAATTTGAGCTGCACCCACAAGTATTTGTGTGAACAGTACTCCTTAATAATAGTACTGTCCACCTTTTACCATATGGTGAGCAAGGTATTAAGGTAAGGGGGGAGGAATGTATCTATGCCCATTAAAATCCTGATGTGTCAGTGTCATTGAATTGAGAAACATCTAGGAGATTAGCAAAGTGTGCTCCTACATGTGTCTGGGTAGGTCTGTGACCTTCAGTACTTTACAGTGGTACCTTGGTTCATAAATTCAATTTGTTTACAATTTGGGAGAAGATGGCCATGATTGTGTTTATGTGAGGAAGATGGCAACAGTTGTGTTTGTCACCTAATGTGGAGTTTGTGGAGGGAGGCAAATTTTTGTTGAACGCTTTTGTTTGAGAACTGAATTGTTTGTAAACAGAAGCATTCATGAACACTGTATGTGTTCCCGAGCTCGCTCCTCTCTGGCATTGTTCTGTTGCCTTGCTTCCCAATTCCCATGAACTGAGCAGCTTTGCTCAGCCATACACTTCTGCTGTGATATTTCTGCCTTGTAGCCAGCCAGTGATGGACTGGATCCCCTGAACCATGAGCGAAATTAAAACTCTTCTAAGTTGTAGGTGTTGGGTATTATACCCCAGCAATAGGAAAGTTGATTAATACAAAAAATTGGTACTGAGAGTGGTGCAACTGTGTGACTGTACCTGACCATATGGTTTAAAAACCTTTGGAGCTAGCTTGAGGGAGATGTTTGAAAAAATTCAGAGGGGTGGGCTGGAGAAGCCCTAGAATGCTGTGAACACAGCCTGATGGGTGATTCTGGTCAGAGCTCAAAAGACCAGCATGGAGATAGGAATGCAGGCAGCTTTCAGTTGTGAACAAAGACTCCATTTGCAATTGGACCAGGGGGCATTGTGTTACACTCTACCAGAAAAATCTGTCTCTATTTTGCCCACGTTCTGAGACTTTGTAGGAGACTGAGATTAAAAGCAGTAGATTAATTTTGTGGATGAAATTTTAAAGCACCCCAACATTCAGGCTGTGGCAAGGGTATTTCAAGCTACTTTTACCCAGATTTATAATGAGAATTGGAGGTGAAAGGCAAAAACAGAAAAATTTGCAAAATTTAAATTTTGGCCCAGAAAGAACCATAAGTAAAGTCTGGGCCAAAGGAAGTATGGCTGCTAAGGAGATTAGCACCATTAAAAATAAACCAAGTACTTTGTATAGGGACAAGAAGAAAGATGCCTTGAGAGCATCTCAGGAACAGCAAGATGCCACCGATTGCAGCACATTTCATTTGACCCCTCCTTGAAAATTGCCTCCTAGAGAATTAGTTCCCCAGGATTCATTTTACTATACCCAGCCATCCAAGCACTCAAAGGGCACTGCAGCCATGGTCCAAAGGGGCTTGGCTTTGGCCTTGTCCATATGGTGCTGTTTTTACTGGCAGGTAGAATGCCAAGAGTTGTGGTGTCAAAGAGACTTCCACCTAGATTTCAGAGCAAGGCCTGGAAGGTTATATTGCCCCTGACAGGGTAGTCCATGAAGCTGTGGGAATGAAACCAAAGGTGCATTGGAGACCCCCAGGAAGTTGGAGATGCCAGGAAAATGGACTATCTTCTCAGGAAAGCCACAGGCCAAGCATGAGTGGGGCTAGCCTAAGGGAGAGGCCCCATGGGCTGCAATGGCCAAGTCCATAGGGGCGGCATCACCCAGCCCATTGGAATTCACATTTTGCCACTGTCCCAGATACTAGATACAAAGCTATAGGATTTAATGTTTGCCTGCTAGGTTTCAGTCTGAGTTTTTTCTATCCCCTTATTCCTTCTTTTTGGAATGGGAATGTTTACCCAATACTATTGTACCTTGAGGTTATATAACTTGTTTTTGATTTTTACTAAGAGTTTTGATTTTTAACCAAGATTCTGCCTTGAGCCTCAGAAAAGACATGGACTTTAGAAAAATGCTCAACTGTTGAAATTCTGGGGAAGAGATTATTATGTTTCTGGTTGGAGGTGAGATAGTTGTATTATGTTGGACAGAATTATAAACTTGCTATTATCTTTATTTGGAGATTAAATATGGTTTAAGCAGATGAAGTTGATGAGGTATGAATTGTGACCATTATTCCTGACTTGTCAACTTCATTGGATTAAGAAATGCCTAGTAGATTAGCATCCTTCTGGGTATGTATGAGTAGGATGTGAGGGTATGACCTTGGGTACTATATATGATCCCTAGCCCATTCCTCTGGCACTGTCCCCCTGCTGTGCTTCCTGGCCCCCATGAACGGTTTTGTTTCCCCATGCATTTTTGCCATGATATTTCTGCCTTGGAACCAGCCAGCCATAGATTGAATCCCCTGAATCATTAGTCAAATTAAAACTCTCCTAGTTTAAGTTGTTGGTGTTGGGTATAGTGTCCCAGTGACCGGAAAGCTAATACCTGATGTTTCTGATATTGGAAAAATTATTGTTAATTTTGTGATGTTTTAAAGTATGTTCAGAATATAAACTTTTGTTTAAAAATAAGATTGTGTGATTTTATGTTGATTATTTAGATACTGCCTATAACAATTTGTCAATCTAATGGTAGGTCCTTTTGACAGTTAAATTAGCATTTCTAGAAGTTATCTTTTTTGTTTGCTGAGTTGTTTATATATATTTGTATTACAGCCTTATAAAAAACACACAATAAGATATTCTACTCATATGAAGAGTGATTTTTATGTTAAAAAATAAATCATTTTTACTAAAGAATACTAATGAGCTAACTTTAGTTTTTAGAGTGACAGATGTAATATGGCAAATTCATAGACTGCCTTGTTGAGTTTTATTGTTTACAGAAATCCAGAACCAGAAGCACTCTTTTGACTCTTGGTAATTTATTGTTCATTAGTGTCTTTCATATGTCATTTTGTTATTTGTTTTTTAGCATATATTCAGTGACAGTTGAGCTGAAAATAAATAGTAGGTTTTAAAAAGAATTATCAAAAAGCAAGTATAATAAAAGATTTTATTTTTAATGACATGATATACCCACACTTTTTGTGAGGTTTTGTATTGAAAATTGTTTTGGAATAATGTAATGTTGATTTTGCTTTTTTAGGGAACTCCAGTGAGTGATATAGGTGGAGAAATTAAAATTGTACCCATATATAATGTTTTAAAATCTTTAGATTATTCTCTGAAGGAGATTAAAACATTATAAAATAAATATGAAGATTTGATGAATTTGTTACATCTAAATATTTTTTATTTTTAATAGGATACAACATCTATTGAAAAGATGTCAAACTGTTGTGAAGAAGTGTAAGTATAAAAGTACTGTTGTAGTGTTCTTATTTAATTGAATAACCAGCTGCATTTGAGAACTGTGTGCATGTAGTGGAAAGATAATATAATGATGACTTTCTTGGTGCCTAGTCTGAGGCCCTGGCTAAATGAGAATACCCCTGTTTTACAGTAGACGTTCCTCTACACATGATAATTTTTAAACAAAATAAGTACTGATCATTTTTGTTCCTTGTCTGACTAAAGTTAAATTATTTATTCTGAAAGTACATCAAAAGAGATTTGCTTCTGTGTTGTTGACACATATTCTGTTAATCCTGAGATTCTCCTCTGCTTCAAAAGTTGCCCTAGGTTGATTGACGACGCAGATACAATATCTGCTATCCAGAGTTAAAACTCAGCTGCATGCCACAATGAAAGCAAAGCTGTATTTGTGATGCTGGGACACAATTCATCAGAGTCCAGTAATGGATCCCCAGCCAACCTGTATTGTTTTAGCTGACTGAAGTGCACCATGGGAGTGCTGTCTTTCACTAATAATGCTGTCTTCTGTAGATCGAGGCCCCGCAAGCCATGGCAGCAGACCTTCTCAGAAGTTTTTGGCACTCGTTGGAAGATCCTGTGGTTCATTCCTTTCAGGCAGAGGCAACCACTGCGAGTTCCCTACCACTTTGCCAATCACGTCTAAACAGATGGATGGTGGGCACAGATGGGTCCTCTGTGCTGGAAATGCGTTACAGGTTTTATGATAATAGAACTATGACAGTCTTCAAGTCAGTTAAAATCCACCCACCAATCTTAGGCATCACAATGTGCCCCAGGCTTTATTTTAATAGTGATCTTGATCCTGTTGTGGGACTAATCCAAGATCTATATTTAAGTTTTAAAGCATGTTTACTTTCAAATTAGCTTTCCACAGGGATTTCTTTAAATGCTTTTGTTATTAAACTCAAAAGGCAGTGATTGGGAGAAATAATTCTACATAAATTTCTTTTAGTACTGACAGTGTTATAGATTTTAATTTGTGGGAAATTTCTGATGTTTATTTAAATTTTCACTTTTAAGCAGTACTTACCAAATCTGAATTTAATTCTTCGGGTTTTACAAAACTTGATATGCCTTCTTATATGTAAATTTTTTTTAAATACAAGTTAAAATACTTAATACTTTTTTTTGTATGTGCTGCAAGATTTTTTAAATGCAGCTTGAGGATGAACGATAACAAAGGGCAGTGTTTTCATAAGAGCAGCTTTCTAATGTGTCCTCCTCTCTTCACCAAAATCAAAACAAAAACACACTAAAGGAAAATATCAACTACCTTAGTATAAAGAAAAGATTAATTTTTTCCGCATTAATTTTTCCCTTTACTATTGTAATTATTGTTTGCTACCAGTGGTCATATATTCCTATTTTACCCTAAGGTTTTAATGAACAAAAGTAATAGAAAATCTACAGTAATTTCAGTTACTTTTTCTAGTGTGATATGTTAGGATGCATACATTTTTTAAATGCTGTATAAATAATATATAATGTACAGTGTAAAGAGGAATATTGTGCTTTTTAAAAATATATACTTTTTACTTGTATTTATCTACTAGTAGATGTAAAATTACACACTGAAGATTTATAAATATAGATATATAGATATTGGGCAACTCATATTGAAATTTTACTTACTAATAACTAGTAAGTAACTCATAATTAGCAAGTTACTAGTAAGGGTCACTAACTTTTATGTACCAATAATCACCTAAAATGAAGTTAAATTTCCACTGACCAAATAGAAGTTGTGTTGCTCTAGAGACCTTAAAATGTTAGGGAATTTTCTTACAATAATGAAACAATAATAATGATCTATATTTATCATTAGCCTTGTACAAATTTAAATTGCTAATAGTAATGGTCTCTTGGAAAGCAAAGAACATTTGTGTGAAAAGATATTTAGTATGCTTTGAAAAAATTTAGCTTTTAGTTTTTCCACTAGAATACTACAAAATCCATATGTTTTTAAAAAAACATTATATACTTACAGTTTTCCTTTAAGAGAAGATTGAAAGAGTCTGCTGGACCATATTTATACTTTTAGTTTTGAAAATAAGGTATCATATTTGGGATACAATGAAGCAGACGGTTGTCATTGTTGGCCAATTGGCTATACTATGGCTAATTCTTTCAGAAATTGTAAATACCCTCTAAAATATTCTGAAATAATAGAATAAACTCTTTCAGAGATATTAATGTCATGTTTTTCATGTTTTAATTATGTTTATTACTTAAAAAGTTAGATGTGGCAAATGAAAGTATTTATTGGTGCTGATAAAATGTATATAGTAAATTTAATATAAGAAATATAAAGATTAATGAAACATAAAATTAGTATTAGACACATTGGTTGGATTTTATGAAAGCTAATTATCCAAACTTGGTGGCAACAGAACTAGTACAAAGAATTAAACTATGTAATATAAGTAGATGTCAGTTGACTGCCTTATGTTGCATACATTCCCTTCACATGAGAACCTTGAGAAAACAGCTGGGCCAAGTGAAGGCCTTAAAGAGCTTTATGGAGGTATTCATGTAGTAGCAGTAGCTATAGTGAAGTAATGGGGGAGGTCTCTTTCCTATTCTAAGGCTTGTGTTTTGGGTGTTCTTAGATTTACCACTTCTGGGGCACATTCTTTTCCTTTCTTTTTCTTTACCTTCCTTGGTCCTGTTCCCTCTATATCCAGTTCCTCTGAGCTATGGGTCTGAAAACTAATGCACTAGAAAACCATATGCTAATTTCTTGTGAATGGCAGAAATGCTACCTGTCACTGTATTTGCATAAAAATCCATATTAACGTGTTAATTAACATCTGTATATACTTATGCTGTAACTTTCAGTGTTCTCAAGTTAGCACTCTTAACCCTACAATGGGATTTATAATTCTTCTAGACTACTAGAGAGAAGCCATTGGCAGTTTCCTGGGGATTACATAAACTCTGGTGTTCTTTCTGCGCCCTCTTTTGGCTAATTGATGTAATTGTATTGATGTAATTGTATTGGTTCTAGAGGTTTCCAGTCCTGTAAATTTTACACACAAATTTTGAACATGTCAGAGGTACACAATTAGGAAAAATATATGTATTATAATGTAAAATTTTATGAAAATGAATGATCTATTTATGATTTTATTTTAATTCATAGAAATGTGTTGACTACTTTGCTTCATGTATTTTTTTTTTTTACCAACAATACATATTTATATCAGATCAGGATAAACTAGGCATAATGTATTTTATGTTAATCCTTACTTTGGCAAATTAATTCTTTAGAATTAGGCTCTTTAAAGTTGTAGTTTATTATAAAACAGAAATTTATTATAGTTACAATGACAACCACCTGTGCAATGTGTTTTATTGAGTATTTTAAAATGCATATAGGTTTTTCTATCTCGATTTTGGAATGAATTTATTTATTGGCGCTACTATCTTAAAACAACTAAGAAGAGATTAATACTCCTTCTGTGCTTTTTTGTTTTAACTTTCCCAGAGTTGTCCATGTAGCTTTAGTAGCCAGTTTAATATGTATTGTGAATACCCATGAAAATAACTAAATGTGTTCAACATTAGAAAATAAATATTAGCAGTGAGGTTACTGATACAGTCTGATGTTGAACAAAGTGTATCTTTAAAAACTTTCCATTTAATTTTTGCAAGATGTTTTTTACATTAACAACATTTATTGGCTTTTGAAGATGAAAAGTTTTTACCAGGATACAGTTACACCTCCTGAACACTCATATTTGTTGCTTTCTGTAAACAGAAATGTTTTGGGGATTAATATAGGCTGAAAATCATTGTCAGAAATAGACTTAGAGAATCCCCCAAGCAATGAGAATTTAATTAAAGAGTTCTTGGTACTTGTAACGCAGACTTAGAGTTTAAAAATATTAACCTGATGTTCTATTATAATAAAAATATTATACTATTTAGTTTAAGAGTTGTATTAAAAGTATTAGTGGTTAACATAAGGACAGCCATTTAAAATTGCAGCTAACATATTAACCTTTTTTTCAGAAGAAAACAGTTTATTTTTAATAGTACTGAAGTAGGGGCTTTGGGTATAGCTCGGTGGAAGAGCACAGGCAAGGCCCTGGGTTTAGTCCTTAGCACCAAAAAATAAATGAATGAATGAATGAGTGAATGAATGAATGAATGAGTAGAAGCAAGTAGAGGAATAAGTGTACACAAAATTCATCATAACAGCTGAGCTGAAACTTCTGTCAGAATTAATATATTTTTACTAATGAATAGAAGTCTTTTTTTCTAAGGATGGTGGCTAATTCTACCTGTTCTTTCTTAGACTTCAAGTCACCTCTACACAAGTAACTAGTTGGAGATATGTTTCATTCAAAAGGTATATTCTGAATAAGGATCAAGAAGACTTAGGACCCACTCTCAAGCAGGAAGTGTGAACTAATTTCGATTATGGCTTACACTATTTTCTGTGTGTTAGATTATGGGGCGTTTTGAGTTATTCCCCCATGTACTGTAAAATCACAGTGTGTCTAGCTGTGGCTTAATATGACATCAGTATTCATTAATAGAGCTAGTTTCTCTGTGGACTTTCTCTAGTCTCTTACTAATTCTCTTATGCTTCATGTATCATTAAATTACATAGTAGCTCAAGTTTACTAAACTGTAGTTACTTCATTAAATTTTTTACATGACCTCTAATATACATAGATATATCTAGAATTTATTTGGTAAAGTTTACACTTATAAACAAAGTAGTTTGATATAAGTATAGATTTTCATCCAGTTCTACTGCTATTTTAAAAATATAAGTATTGGCAAATGTAGTTAGTCATGTACATTTAGTGTGTTCTACTTGGTAGTGTTATTAACCATGTAATTAAGGAATGAGTGAATTGCTTAATGTCCATGTTTTTTGCCTTCTATAGTAGGAATTATCCTCTGAATTTATCTGTAAATCAGAATTTTCAGTATGCTCCATATTTGGCTATTCTCATTTCAATTTTGGAATATTCTACAGTAGAATGTGAGAAAGTATTAGAAATTAACTTGTTTGAAGTATTTTGAACAAATATCATTATTTACTATTATCAATATTTAGCAGTCTGCTACTTTTGGAATGATGGTATAACTTTGGGAAAATGACTTTTCTCTGGCTTCTTTCATTATCATTTGCATTTTTTAGCAATAAAATTCATTACATTTTTGTCTTTTATTCAGATTTTTCAATACTGCCTGCTAGTACTAATTTGAAACAAATAACATCATTTTAAAATTCTTTAGTCACTGATATGACGTATTTGTCATTATCATATTTTTTTACCATATCGTATCCTTTATCCCTTGACACCAGAGGACAGGTGCAATTGAGTAGTAAGTAGCCAACAAACTGTATGGCGGGAATGGGGGACCTTCATAAACTGGAGAGGCTAGATGAGGTGAACAATGAGCATGGGGAAACCCTTTCTGTGCTCAGAGCACACCCTCTGCGCTCAGCGTGTCAGCCTTTTCTCTCCTTGGTGCCATTTTACCCTTAGAGTTGTTATGCATGGAGCATTTAGGTGGTGGTATTTGATCTAAGGAGTTTAGATTGCTCTCTTTTTAGCTGGTCAGTACCTTGAGAAGTAATTTTTAATTTTAAATGAGTAATTGTGTAGTGTATGATAACATGCAGTATTGAAAGTGTGGAAATGCAGCTATTTAATACAGAGGAGAAATGAAAAAGTTGCCCACAGTTTGAAGGAACTGAGACTTTTCTGCGGGTCTCTTAAGGCAAAAAAATGATGAAGAGAAAAATCAGCAATTTTAATATCAAAGGTTTTTTCACTTTACCATTTGGGATCTTTTAGAGTTGATACCTTGAAGGGTCTCCCTGTTAGTATTTGAGCTCCTATGGCATGTAATGTAGTGCTTACCACAGTTTTTCAGCAGTTTTGGAAACAGTTTCACAGTTTTGATCCTTTTGGTGTTGATAGCTTTATATTACATAAAGATATGGACAAAACAGCAGCAACAAAAGGTGTGTTTCTTCTTGTGGCTTTGCTGGCCTGTTTGACTTAATACAGGGTTTAATTGTTTGTAGGGTGTTAAATAAAGGGAAATCTTGTCCGCATATTGCAAGTTCTTGCCAGTATGCATGCATGATATTTTAACCTCCTGGTGCCTGAAGTTAGTGTTTTACAACCTCAGCAACTAAAACATCCTGGTGCTATTCTCTGTAGCATTGAGTGACATTTTAAATTCCTGTACCAAAGAGTTTTTTCTTTTTGCTTGACTGAAAGTTTTCTGTCTCACATCGTCATGTTTGTAAAGCAGAAATGAATGGTACTAAGAATAATTTTTTTTTTACCAGATCTTCTTTTTGCAACTGCTGCTTCAGTTTGATTTGTTTTAAATCTCTTGTTTAGACCCCTCCCCCACCCTGCCCAGTTAGCAGATTGGTAAGGATTTTAACTTTGTATTTTAATACAGTTTGGCTACTTTAAAAGTGATAGTCACTAAAGATAATTGAAGCACTTTTCATAGGTTGTTTTTTGCTTTTATTTCTGCAACAATGAATTTAAAAATAACTACTTTTATTTCTGAAAATGAATGATTATTTATTGGGTACTTTCATGAATACTGAAACAAAATGCTAAAATAAAAGGTTGATAACGGGTCCATTTTAATAATCACAATTTAACATCTCTATGTGAATAATCCTTAATGATATTAAAGAGTGATAGTGCTACTTTGTCTACTTTGCCAGTAAAGATAAAGAACATTTTAAAAGTGCTCCCGGTAGGAAATGTAAATGTATCTTGATTTAAGCAAAACTACTAATAGAAAATTGAACTTCATGAAAAAATGTCTGAATATTTTTATTCCTTTTACATGAAAATTCAAGAGTAAGATTATTTTGAAAACTAATTTTACTTAGTGATTCATTTTCTAAAAGTGGAGAAAAATACTCAAATGTAATTAATGTGGTAACACTGCTATGTGTACTATACTGGTTCCCTATTTCTTTCTTCTAAAGTTTAAAAATACTATCATTTAATATCCTTAAAACTGAAATTGAAATGGTTAATTCAGGCAAGAAGGTAACAGTATATATATATATATTAGAAAAGTAGACAATCACATTTGAAAATGTTTGCACTATTTTTGATAGTCTAAGTTTCTCCTTGATGTAGATACAGTACAATATATGGTTTTGCTGTGAATTCTGAATGGAAAAACGAATCAAGTCTGAAATTTATGTGAAACATGATTTCAGATCATATGAGTGATAGGCAAGAATCCAGATAAACATACTAGAGGTGAAAGTAAAAATCTGTTTGAAAGCAAACTGGGATGGAGCAACATTCTGTGTCTGTCTAATCTGAAGCAGTATTTCCTAGCTTGTGTTGCCACTGGATTGGTTCTGAGTAATTTAACTTGTTTAAGTGTGGTTTAAATTATCATAGCTGAGTGTAGTTATTTTTCAAGTTATGGATAGTAGAGAATTCTTCACTATCCACTTATCTCCCAGAGAGAATATTAAAAAGTTAAAAAAACAACAACAACACTACTTTAGCGTAGGTTGGAAAAAGCAACTAAAGGTACAGTAGGAACGTTTTCTCCCAGTCAGAGATCCTGAAATGAGTTGCAAATCTGACATGGGGACGTGATGGTAGGCTCTGGGAGGACAGCACATGTGACCATAATATATGTTTTATGTCTCGAATTCATCTTTCGTGTGATTGTTTAATCTGACTGGCAAATTTAATAGACAAAATGTATATTATTTTGAGGCTCCTAAAATTTGTTAACCCTAAATTCTGTCCAGTATTACATCTTTTTTTTTTTTAACTTGGCTTTTCTTGTGTTTTAAAGATCCTGTTTTTAAATTTGTCAGGCATTTTTTTTTAATTCAGTGCATAAGATGTGTAAATCTGAGTGCTGGTTTTCTGCATTGTTTTCTATTTTACTTTGTCACCGTAAGAACATTTAAAGAAAATCTTCACTTACATTTCTAATGCTAATTATAATAAGGAAAATAGTAGTTGAGAAGTTTAAGAATATATTGAGAAGAGGGAGGAAAGTGGGTAAAAATGGTAATCATATATCTGAGATGTACTTGTTTAAATGTAAAGTCTACACTGGTTCTTGAAAAGCTGTGTATCTACCTTAACGTTAATGTTGTTGTTTTTAATTTAGTGATTTGGTTTTTGTCATGTAATACTCTGTTTTCTTTGCAAATTGTTTTTAATTTAAATTGTGGAATTTCTACTTCTCTTGAAATGTATTATGTACTGTATTTTTAGAAATCTTATTTTTAAATAAATATTTTTTAAAAAACATAAGACCCTTTTCCCTTTACCTCTTTATTAAAATCAACCCAAAAGTCTAGATTTCAGTGCCACCACCAGTATGATAAGTTTTTGAAAATTTTTATACATTTTTGATGAGTATTCATCAATTAGTAGCCTTACAGTATTATTCTGCATAAGTACAAAATTCATTGTGTCCACAAAGAACTTGGTATGAAATTGACACAAATAGTATTTCTACTTAGGAATACTTATCTTAGAGATAAGCCAAGCCACATGGATGGAGGTTCCCAAAGCTAAGGATCCTAACCCACCTAAACATAGGATATCTGTAAGTGTGCCTACTCCTGTCACAGAAAGATTTTCAAGACTAGTCAGAGGTAAAGGGAGGGTTTAGTAGGCAGAAATTCTAGTACACATTCCAGTAGAGTGCGGGTGTTAGAGAAATGAGGTGCATTATTTCCTGGAATGGGGAACAGGGAACATTTATGCTTCTCTTGCAGGGGTGGAAACCCGGGGAAAAGGAGGCTACACTCCCAGAAGAGTACCTCCCATTCTATAGGAATGAGCCCAGTTTGTTTGAGGGGTGGGTTGAGGGAGTAGGGGATAGGTAATTTAAATATTATTAAGATTCTCTCAACCTGTTTCTTCATCTTAGGATCATGCTCTTTACTTGCTCAAGCCAATTTATGGGCTTTCAGTATTCCTGAAGAATTTCGGGTGTGATGGCATTTGGAAGGGAAGGAGCCTAAATGTAAAATGCTGATATGGATTGCCTTGGGTAACTACTGCGTCCTGGAAGCTGCAGACTTCTTAGAAGTACAACTTTTAATTATGATTTCGTTGTCTCCTTTGGCCATCTTTTATTTCTTCTACCTCAAATAGATTCAGTCACCCAATTTATTTAATATGTGTTGTGCTAGACACTGTATTATGGAGATATTTTTTCTTTAGGGAATAATTTACATGCAATAAAATGTAAAATAAAGTATATCCAGGCACCTTTAAATATAAAGGGTTTTTTTGTATTAAATTATTTTATTGGTACATTGTAGGTATACAACACAATTACATTTCTCATTGGGAATTGTACCTTTATATAATGCATCTTGGTTCTTATTTTTTCCC